GTCGGACTCTTCGGGCCCGTGTCGAATCCGTGCCGAATCCGCGTCGGATCCCCGCCAGGCCCGCGCCGAGTCCTCACCGAGCCCGCGCCGGGCACGAGAAAATACACCAACTCTGGGGACGGGCGAGAGGTCCCCTGAAGATGCGACGCAAGAAGCCTGGAGGCACGAGTGGCGCACTCAAGGCGCACCTGGAGGGCGGCCCGCGCCCTCCTGCCCTGCGCGAAGAGGAGCTCCGCCACCGCGCCGTGCTCGGCGTGCCGAGCGTCCAGCCTCACCAAGGGGGGCCGGGCTCGGCCGGCACCCCATCCCCCGCCCGCCGCCCCCTCTGCCGCCGCTGCCCGCTCCCCCGCCCTTCGTCCTATCTCTCCCTCCTCGCTCCATCTCCCACCTGCACCACTCCCGACCTGCACCCTCTGCACCCTGCCCTCCGCCTCCTCCTCCTCCTCCTCCTCCTCCTCCTCCTCCTCCTCCTCCTCATGATCATCATCATCGACTCCTCCTCCTCCTCCTCCTCCTCGTCTCCAAGACGGCAGAGTAGGCACTGGTGGGTATGGTGGACTCGGGTGGAACATATTAGAATCCAGTCGAGTGGGAGATAACATAACATAATCGAGTAGGAAAAGATTACGCTACCAAGGAACCCCACATACTTAATTCAAATCTTCTGTGTTTGCGTGCGTGAGGGACCACCTCCTGCGCACCGTCTATTGTGTCGAGGAAGTGCCACGCCTGCAATGCCCTGGACGACCGTCGTGCGTAGCGGCCGCGCTCAGGGACCACCCCCTGCGCACCCCCTATGGTGTCGAGAAAGTGCCACGCCTGCTATACCCTGGACGACCGTCTCGGATAGCGGCCGCGGTGAGGGACCACCCCCTGCGCACGCCCTATGGTGTCGAGAAAGTGCCACGCCTGCTATGCCTGGACCACTGTCGTGCATAGCGGCCGAGCTCAGGGACAACCCCCTGCGCACCCCTTCTGGTGTCGAGAAAGTGCCACGCCTGCTATGCCTGGACGACCGTCGTGCATAGCAGCCGAGCTCAGGGACCACCCCCTGCACACCCCCTGTCGAGAAAGTGCCACGCCTGCTATGCCTGGACGACCGTCGTGCATAGCGCGAGCTCAGGACCCCCCCCTGCGCACCCCCCTCAGGTTGGTGCCACGCCTAAGTGCGGTGGTGTCGAGGAAGTGCCAAGCCTGCTGTGCCTGGACGACCGTCGTGCATAGCGGCCGCGCTCAGGGACCACCCCCTGCGCACCCCCTGTGGTGTCGAGGAAGTGCCAAGCCTGCTGTGCCTGGACGACCGTCGTGCATAGCGGCCGAGCTCAGGGACCACCCCTATGCGCACCCCCTTGTGGTGTCGAGAAAGTGCCACGCCTGCTGTGCCTGAACGACCGTTGCGCATAGCAGCCGAGCTCAGGGACCACCCCCTGCGCACCCCCTGTGGTGTCGAGAAAGTGCCACGCCTTCTGTGCCTGGACGACCGTCGTGCATAGCGGCCGAGCTCAGGGACCACCCCCTGCGCACCCCCTATGGTGTCGAGAGAGTGCCACGCCTGCTGTGCCTGGACGACCGTCGTGCATAGCGGCGAGTCATGGGACCACCCCCTGCACACCCCCTATTGTTTCGATAAGTGGGAGTGCCACGCCTGCTGTGCCTGGACGACCGTCGTCGTTGCATAGCGGCCGCGCTACAGGGACCACCCCCTGCGCACCCCCTGTGGTGTCGAGAAATGCCACGCCTGCTGTGCCTGGACGACCGTACGTGCATAGCGGCCGCGCTCAGGGACCACCCCCTTGCGCACCCCCTGTGGTGTCGAGAAAGTGCCACGCCTGCTATGCCTGGACGACCGTCGTGCATAGCGGCCGCGCTCAGGGAACACCCCCTGCGCACCCCCTGTGGTGTCGAGAAAATGCCACGCCTGCTGTGCCTGGACGACCGTCGTGCATAGCGGCCGCGCTCAGGGACCACCCCCTGCGCACCCCCATGGTGTCGAGAAAGTGCCACGGCTGCTGTCGCCTGGACGACCGTCCGTGCGTTCTAGCGGGCCTCGCTTCAGGGACCACCCCCTGCGCACCCCCTATTGGTGTCGAGAATGTGCCACGCCTGGCTATGCTATGGACGACGTCGTGCATAGCGGCCGCGCTCAAGGACCACCCCCTGCGCACCCCCTATGGTGTCGAGAAAGTGCCACGCCTGCTGTGCCTGGACGACCGTCGCGCATAGCGGCGAGCTCAGGGACCACCCCCTGCACACCCCCTTATGGTGTCGAGAAAATGCCACGCCTGCTGTGCCTGGACGACCGTCGTGCATAGCGGCCGAGCTCAGGGACCACCGCCTGCGCACCCCCTATGGTGTCGAGAAAATGCCACGCCTGCTGTGCCTGGACGACCGTCGTGCATAGCGGCCGAGCTCAGGGACCACCCCCTGCGCACCCCCTGTTGGTGTCGAGAATAGTGCCACGCCTGCTATGCCTGGACGACCGTCGTCGTGCATAGCGGCCGAGCTCAAGGGACCACCCCCTGCGCACCCCCTATGGTGTCGAGAAAGTGCCACGCCTGTTGTGCCTGGACGACCGTCGTGCATAGCGGCCGCGCTCAGGGACCACCCCTATGCGCACCCCCTGTGGTGTCGAGAAAGTGCCACGCCTGCTGTGCCTGAACGACCGTCGCGCATAGCAGCCGAGCTCAGGGACCACCCCCTGCGCACCCCCTGCGGTGTCGAGAAAGTGCCGAGCCTGCTATGCCTGGACAACCGTCGTGCATAGCGGCCGAGCTCAGGGACCACCCCCGGCGCACCCCCTTATGGTGCCAAGAAATTGCCACGCCTGCTGTGCCTGGACGACCGTCGTGCATAGCGGCCGAGCTCAGGGACCACCCCCTGCGCACCCCCTATGGTGTCGAGAAAGTGCCACGCCTGCTGTGCCTGGGCGACCGTCGTGCATAGCGGTCGAGCTCAGGGACCACCCCCTGCGCACCCCCTCGGGTGTCGAGAAAGTTCCACGCCTGCTGTGCCTGGACGACCGTCGTGCATAGCGGCCGCGCTCAGGGACCACCCCCGGCGCACCCCCATGGTGTCGAGAAAGTGCCACGCCTGCTGTGCCTGGACGACCGTCGTGCATAGCGGCCGAGCTCAGGGACCACCCCCTGCGCACCCCCTGTGGTGTCGAGAAAGTGCCACGCCTGCTGTGCCTGGACAACCGTCGTGCATAGCGGCCGAGCTCAGGGACCACCCCCTGCGCACCCCCTGCGGTGTCGAGAAAGTGCCACCCCTGCCACGCTCTGCCGTGCCGTGCCCTGCGCGCCTGCCCTGTGTGCTATGCTGTGCTGAGCTGTGCTGCGATGTGCTGTGCTGTGCCGTGCCGTGCTGTGCTGCGGTGTGCTGTACTGTGCTATGCTGTGCTGTGCTGTGCAGGTGTGCTGTGCAAAACTGCCACGCCTGCTGTGCCGTGGACGACACCTATGGCGTCGAGAATGTGCCGCACGTGCCAAGCCGTGTGTGTGTGTGTGTGCTGTGCTGTGCTGAGCTGAGCTGTGCTGTGCTGTGCTGTGTGCGCTGCGCTGCGCTGTGATGTGCTGTGCTGTGCTGTGCTGTGCTGCGCTGCGCTGCGCTGCGCTGCGCTGTGCTGTGTGCGTGAGGAGGAGGGGGAGGAGGAGGAGGAGGACGGGAGGAGGGCGGGTGTGGGTGAGACGCGGGTGCGGCGCAGGTGGGACGAAAACCAGAACCCCACGAAGCATGTGGGGAAATATGAATCTGCGTTGACACGAACCGTGCATATGGCAGAATCAAATCGAATGGGTTAGTGTCTGGTGGGGTAGAGCAGCATATACTCGGTAGAGTAGATTTGAGTGCTGTATACCAGAGTCGTATAGATGGTAAAGTAGCGCGGGTATACGAGAATAACGGTGACCAGGGTAAACGAGAGAAAACTGAAGTAGAATGCAATCGAGTAGGAGTAAAATATACTCGAGTACGGCAACTTATAAAACAAAACACGTAGTTTTACGATAAGGGCGTGGTAATTGGAGTAGGACCGAGTATAACAGAGTATACTAGGAGTGGGAGCAATGGTAGAGACGAGTCGGGCAGACTCGAGCTGAGAAGAGTAAAGTGGAGTAGAGTCCACCCTGATCCAGCCCAGTCTACGCCAGTCAACATGCTGATATAAGTTGAGGCCTGCGCTGGTTACTATTTGAGAATGTGGAGCACCAGATGAACCATCCAAACGCCCAAACAGGAGGAGGCTCACGACTGAGAGGTCCCCGAGAACCCACAATAGGAGGAGGATCCCGCCTGGGAGATCCCCACCAAGCCTAACAGGATGCGGTTCCCGTCTGCGAGAGCCTCCTCCTGTTTGGGTTTCTGTTGGGACCTCTCAGGCGTGAGGCTTCCAAGTTGTTCCCACTTGAATTCCAGTTGGGTCCCAATTAGACTGCATCACATTCCAGATCTAGAGAAACCCCATTGGATTCCAAGTGGATTATGATTGCATTACAAATAGAACGGAGGAGATCACAGATCCAGAAGATTTCAATTGTATCCCGATCGGATGTCGTTTGGATTCCGATTACCAGGTGCCATGGAAGGGGGCTTTGGATGTTTGGCACCTCTCAGGCGGGAGCCTCCTCCCGAGAGTTTCTTGTGACCTCTCAGGCGGGAGCTTCCCCCCTGTGGAGTTTCTCTGAAACCTCTCAGGCGGGAGCTTCCGCGGTGAGTGGCTTATTGTTGTACGTGGGTTATTACCCTTTCCCCTTCCATATCCACCTCCTCTTCGTCTGCCTCTTCCTTATCCCCCGTTGAATATGCCAAGATGGGGTCCCCTGGGGAGTCTGCGATATATTTGCATACCGAACAAACGGAAATATCTGTATATCTGTGTATATATATATGTGTGTACGTTGATATGTGTATGTTTGGGCAGGCAACCAGCCTCAACCTCCTCTTCTGCAGCGCAGTTTTGGAGGGGAGGACAAAAGGCAGCCTCAGGTGACTGAACGAGACGCTCATGTGGCACCTCGGACCCGCCCCCCTCCGGCATCGACGGCGCCGCGCACTGATCGATCGGCTCTCCGCGGGGCAAGCTCGCTGCAAGTTCCACGCCGCGAGCGGAGCAGGGAGGAGGAGGAGGAGGAGGAGGAGGAGGAGGAGGAAGAGGAGGAGCAGGAGGAGGAGGAGGAGGAGGCGGAAGAGGGGGAGGAGAAGCAGGAGGAGGAGGCGGAGGAGGAGAAACAGGAGGAGCGGGAGGAGCGAGAGGCGAGGAGGAGGATGAGGATGAGGAGGATGAAGAGGAGGAGGAGGAGGAGGAGGAGCGAGGAGGAGCAGGAGGGGGAGGGAGGGATGAGTGAGGAGCGAGAAGCGAGGTGGATGAGGGAGAAGCGAGGAGCGAGGAAGAGGAGGAGGAGGAGGAGGAGGAGGAGGAGGAGTAAGGGGAGAAGGAGGACGAGCAGCAGGAGGATGGAGGAGGAGGAGGGAGGAGCGAGGAAGAGGAGGAGGAGGAGAAGGAGGAGGATGAGGAGGAGGGAGGAGCTAGGAGCGAGGAAGAGGATGAAGAGGAGGCGGAGAAGACGGAGGAGGAGCAGGAGAAGGAGTAGGAGGAGGGAGGAGGAGGCGGAGGGAGGAAGAGGGAGGGAGGACGACGAGGAGAAGTCGGCGGCTCGCACGAAGGGGTGGCCTTCTAAGAGAGCAGAGGGGTTTCCGAGAAGACAGAGGCCTGCTCAGATGCGCCCAGAGGCTACAGAGAGGCCTTCTCAGGAGCCTCTGGGCGCTTCGAAGAACGATTACGGTGCAGGCGCGGTCGCAAGAAACCATCGCAAGAAACAAAAACCCTGAAAACCCGCGCGCGCGGTGCACCTGGGGGGAAGTCCGGACCACCCTGAACGCAGCAGCTTATGAACGGCCGCGGGAAGTCACCGCGCAGCGCGCGGATCGAAGAAGCCAAGGGTTCCCTGGCGAACAATATGTGGTTGCTTGATGCTCGCTTCCACTGTAACCACAAAATGGCCCCTTGCCCTTTGGAAAGGGACCGAAGTCAGGAGGGCCACGAACACTGAGTGAGCATTAGGGATAAAGGGGCACTTTTCTGCAGATGCATCAAATCAAACCGCACAGACTTCTTATCCCCAAATCGAAGACGGGGACCTCAGTGAGGCCACGTCTTCATCGTGTTATTAGCGTTAGGGGTTCTCTTATCCTTGGTGAGATCAGGCCCCCTGCCTTTTGAGACGCCACCCTGCCACCCTGCCACCCCATCGCGCCACCTCCCCGCGCGCGCCGCCGAAAGAGAGGGAAGGCGAGGAAGGGAGAAGGACATGGAGGGAGAGCGAGGGGATGAATGAGGAGGGAGGGGGGGAGAAAGTGTGAGGGGGAAGAGGATCGGAGATTAAGAGAGGCGAGGAGAGAAAGGAGACAGGAAGTGGGAGCGCGTTTGCCTTCGCGGCGTCGAGGCTGGCCTGAAAACTACGCCGAAACGCCGACAGGCCGGAGCGGGTCGGGCGGCCGAGATAGAGGCGGTGGCAAGGAACGGCGACGACGCCAGCGGCGGAGATGGAGAGGAAGATGAAAGTCTGATCCAGGCTCTCGGACAACGACGGGGATCAAACAAAGAGAGGACTACGGCATTGTCAGAGCCAGCCAGCCCGGGTGGTCCCACCGTGTGTCTGGCCGATTTCTCGTTTCCAGTTCCTCACCCTTTTCTCTCCTTTTTCTGCGGCCTCTCGCCTCCAGCTGCTCCTCCGCCTCCCCCTTCTGATACGCCTCATCATCATCCAGTGCCTCCTCGTTCTCCTCCTGGAACCCCACTCACCCATCTCTCGCCTACCCCTCATCATTATCATGGTCCTCGTTCTCCTGATACGTGTTCTCCTCCATCCCTCCAACCACATCGTCTGCCGTCTTCAGTCGCCATCACCACCCTGCTGCTGCTCTCACTCCGCGACCCCCACAACTGATATCCAACCCACCCCCCAACCACATCGTCTGCCGTCTTCAGTCGCCATCACCACCCTGCTGCTGCTCTCACTCCGCGACCCCCACAACTGATATCCAACCCACCCCCTCGTCCCTCTCTCTGCTCCTCCCTCTGCTCCTCCTCCTCCTCCTCCTCCTCATCCTCCTCCTCCTCGTCCTCCTCCTCCTCCTCCCCCTCCTTCGAGGATGGAGGCTCTCCGCTGGGCCCGCTCGCTCCAAGCTCTACGCCGCGAGAGGAGCGAGGAGAAGGGAGAGGAGGAGGAGCGAGGAGGAGGAGGAGGAGGAGGAGCGAGGAGGAGGAGGAGGAGGGAAAGGAGGAGAAGCGAGGCGGAGGAGAAGCGAGGAGGAGGAGCGAGGAGGAGGAGGAGGAGGAGGAGGAG